TCAGAAGATTAAATATTTTATTCCTTTCTTTCTTCATTCAACATCATCATAAGGCTTTCAGTGCTTACAATGTGCCAGGCACTCTGGTAGATGCTGGATATAAAAATTGGACAAGGTAGTTTCTGGCACAAAAGCTTACATTTTAGTTTCTCAACCTCAGCACCACTGATAATTGGAACAGATAATTCTTCATTGTGGGGAATTTCCTGTCCCCACATAGCTGAATGTTCACCAGCATCTCTGGCGTCTACCCACTAGATGCCAGTAGTGCTCCCCAAGTCAACAAAATACGTCTTCAGACATGGCCAATTGTACCCTCAGGGTCAAAATTGCCCCTGGTAGAGAACCACTGATTTAGTGAGGGAGTCCCTAGTGAGTCAAGGTTTTATTGTGATGGCCAAGAGCCACAGATGAGAAAAGCCTAAGTGTTTTAGGGGGCACAGTGAATGGATGCCCAATGGATCTTAGTAGCTACACTGAACATCCAGATATGCTGAGAAGTGAGACTGGGGCTTATGCTGGGGCCAACTTTTAGACAAAAAATAAGGATTGTTTAGATGAAAGAAGGGGCGAACATTCTCCCAGGTAGAGGTCACGGCATGTGCAAAGTGCTGAATGTCAGGAAACTGCACAGAGTTGAACACAGCTGGAGTACCCTGGATGCTGAGCTCTAAGGCAGGAGCCCAGGACAAAGGCAGAACAGCTTTGATTTTACTTCTCCATCCCCAGTCCATCTATTTGCAGCTTTACCAATTCATGTTTGGAAGTTAGCAAATCAGGTACGTTGCCTTTCCAAGGAAATCTGATGTTGGCACCAAAAAGGGCTTTTCTTGCAAGATCTGCAGTACCGTCCGAGAACAAGGCCTGAAGTATGCACGGGAAATCCATATGGAGAGAGGCAGAGATGGGTTTTGAATTTCAGGGGTGAACTTTGCCTTGCATCTGATTATCTTTGGGTCTTGGATTTCAGGCTACACAATTAAGAAGTAAGCTGATCATTCACTTTGCTGGAGGAAGAATTCCACAAGCTCCTTAGGTGCAATGGCTGCAAGAAATTCAGAGCTAAGCCTTCTGATTTGTGCTCAATGCATCCTAGCAGCATCTAAACTGTCATCCGTGACCAACGGGGTATTAAGTGAACATGAAAAAAGCAATTCATACTGTTTGAGGTTACAGTAAAGCATTTAAATGCCAAACAAACAAATTTTAAATCCCAGCACAGACAGAGCCAAGAGAATCTTCTCTTTATCTTTCTAATATTCAGCTATTATGCTGAAATTTTAAGTCAGGACACAGTAGCTGCAGTTAAGTTTGTCTTGCTTAGTGTCCTGGAATTAAACTCTTCATCTACTTATCTTCTACCAAGGGAGAGTACTAGGACAATGTTGAGTGTTTTGAGACTAGCATTAAGAAGCACTGTAAACTAATATTCAAATCCCCCAAACTCATCTCAGTTCATTTTTTCTAAAAAAAAAAAAACCTTTCTTTGTGGTCCAGGAAATTGGATCTATCCTTTTCACACATGTCATCAGCCTTCTACTGCGTCTGTGGGAAGAGGATTATTTACCGAGATAATGATGACAGCCAGCATGTATTGAAGCTTCCCGCATCCCACACTGTGGGATAAATGCTTTGCCTGCATTACCTCACTTAACCCTTACACGACCATGCGAGGCATGGGCTTATGATCATCATTTGCATGTGAGGGAGCTGGGGACTAGAGGCCATATGTTATTTATCCTAGGTCACATGATCTATCAGGATAATTCCACCCAGGCTGGCTTTTCTCCAAATCCCACTATCTTAGTCACTATCCTGAGTGTCCAGATGTGCTAAAAGGGAGTGGGGATGGGGTTTGGAGGGGTACTGGGTTCAAAGATAACCAGGCAGAGTCCCTGCCTAGCTAGAACCACATGATCCAGTGGAGCAGGCACATGTGGAAATATACAGACTCTACACAATGTCTTAAACACCGTAACAGAGAAAAACACAGTGTGTCTTTGGAACACATGGGGAGTACCTAATTTCCAAGAGGGGATACTCAGACACAGTTTTAAAGGGCAGATAGGAATGAGGTCGGCTGAGAAGGCAAAAAAGGGCACTGCAAGCAGGAGGACATGTATGCACCAGGACATGCGGGGTCTGCTTAGGGAAGGACAAAGGGCCGGTGCAGATGGAAAGGTGGAACCACTTGAGGTGTAGCAGGACAGGTAGGCAGGGGCCGAGAAAGAGGAGGCAAGTCTCCTCTACTTAATTCATGGGCAGGAATGCCTTCTCTGTGTGTTCAGCTGACTTCCTGCCCTGACTACCATTTTTAGCCCACTGGTCCTGATATATTCTCTGTTCTGTTAGTCATTCATCTAGTACCAGTTAGGAAAGCAGTTTCAAAAATTTTGACTTCGGCTTAGGGAAGATGGAGGTGGCTGAGTGTTGGAGTGTCTCTAAATTTACCCTAGGCTGGGTTTGAATGGAGTTCTTCAATCAAAGTGCTGTAACAGTGCTGGGCGAGAGAACAGGTCCAGAGGGATCAGGAATAGCAATTGCTCATTGTTCAACAATTGCTGATTATTTATATATTTTTTAATTTATTCATTCATTTTTTCAAGTATTTCTGAATGCCTTCCCTAAGCCTGGCTGTAGGCAAGAAACATTATGGGTATTATCATGTGTCATCTATAAAGCAGGGGTTGCATTATTTATATATTTTTTTAATTTATTCATTCATTTTTTCAAGTATTTCTGAATGCCTTCCCTATGCCTGGCTGTAGGCAAGAAACATTATGGGTATTATCATGTGTCATCTATAAAGCAGGGGTTGTCAGGCCCCTTAGCAGATGAGGTCCTGGTGCTCAGAGAGCACAGGGTACCTGCTCAGAAGAAGGAGTGTCCACACCTTGTCTCTGCAGCCCCAACACCACGGCCCCTGCACTGCACCAAGCTGCAAAGACATCAGCAGCTTCTGGCAGAAGCACATGGTTGTCATTACCAGACACGCTCTCCAGAAAATAAAAAATTATCTTGGGTCCATGCAGAGCTGATTCAACCACTTGTATCCATTTGCTCCCTCATTTATTCCACAAAGACATGAGTACCTACCATGTACCAAGCCCTGTGTGGGATATGGAGAGGAAGCTGCTGTGTCTATGGTACTGATGAGCAAAAACATGCAACAGGGANTGGGCGAGAGAACAGGTCCAGAGGGATCAGGAATAGCAATTGCTCATTGTTCAACAATTGCTCATTATTTATATATTTTTTTAATTTATTCATTCATTTTTTCAAGTATTTCTGAATGCCTTCCCTATGCCTGGCTGTAGGCAAGAAACATTATGGGTATTATCATGTGTCATCTATAAAGCAGGGGTTGTCAGGCCCCTTAGCAGATGAGGTCCTGGTGCTCAGAGAGCACAGGGTACCTGCTCAGAAGAAGGAGTGTCCACACCTTGTCTCTGCAGCCCCAACACCACGGCCCCTGCACTGCACCAAGCTGCAAAGACATCAGCAGCTTCTGGCAGAAGCACATGGTTGTCATTACCAGACACGCTCTCCAGAAAATAAAAAATTATCTTGGGTCCATGCAGAGCTGATTCAACCACTTGTATCCATTTGCTCCCTCATTTATTCCACAAAGACATGAGTACCTACCATGTACCAAGCCCTGTGTGGGATATGGAGAGGAAGCTGCTGTGTCTATGGTACTGATGAGCAAAAACATGCAACAGGGACTGATGAGCAAAAACATGCAACAGGGATCTCTCTGGAAAGTTCCACACAAAAAAGACTTCATTCATTTTGCCCACTGGGGGAAGGAGGCAGAGGCTGAGAAATAGAGGGAAGAAATTAATATTTATAGATAACTTCCTATGTGTCAGGCTGTACTCCAAATCCTTGACAAAGATCATCTCATAGTAAACATGAGAAGCAGAGAATGCTTATCCCTGTTTTACTGATGGGATCGTTGAGGCTCAGAAAGGTCACAGATTTGCCCAAGATCGGCCAAATGGAAAGGTAAACCTGGGCTTCACTTTGAGGTACAACTGGCTTTTTGTACCAGGGCAACTTTATGTTGGAGTTATGAACTGTTTTTTGTGTCAAGAACCCTTCCAGCAGTATTGTGAGGCCCACAGACCCCTTCTCAGGATTATAATTTTGAATCCATAAATGAAGTGTAACACACAGTTATAAAAGAAACTGATTATATTGAAATGGAGTTATCAAAATATTTAACAATTTGAGATGTAGTCATATATGTTCTCCTTTGGTGATGAGCCTAGTGGTGGGTCGAATTCTACCATAATTTTGAAGCAGCGATGAGTATAAACAACACCTGAGTTAACAGGATATGGAATTATCAGTGATTTCTGCTGTGGACAGTCACAGGCTTTGAGGATATCCCTAGGTTATGTTACCTACTTTCATAATTGTAAGAAATGGTAAACTTTAGCTAGAAGTTAATAAATTAAAGACTTTTTTTTCTCCATTCCAGCTCATGGATCCCCAGATTCTATCCATGGGGGGGGGGGGGACACCACGATAAGAGTGCCTGTTTTATGCCATTTGTGTTGTGCAGTTCTGTTCAAGGAACATTTGATAAGGATCGTCTGTGTACATCACTACTTGGGAACCAGGAAATGTTAGAAAGGAAAGGCAGGAAGTTGCTGATGCAGAGGACAGGGGAATGGAGAAAGACCACGTCTTTGCAGCACATTGCTGTGAACTAGGCGTTTGTGTCCCGTATCTTACTTTAGTTCCACTTAATCATCCTAGGAAATTGAAGCTCAGAGAAGAAATTTGCCCAAGGTCTATTAGCTAGTAAATTGTCGAGCTAGGATGTCAACCACTCCCTGTCCAATTCCAAGCCACCGAATGAGATTTTGCACTGTGAGGGCACAGTCCCCACTCATCCTTGGAGGAGAATGTGTAGGTCTTTATGGAGGGACGGGGAATTACAAGAGCCTGCACTGAAGGAGGAAAATTGTTCACTTTTGCTTATTTTGTAGCCAAAAGATGGGTCTCTTGGATCGGGTTCGCCTTTCTAATCCTCGTGGTAGCAATACTAAAGGAAAGCTATTTACCCCTCTGAATGTAGATGCCATAGAAGAAAGTCCTTCTAAAGAACCAAAGCCTGTTGGCTTAAACAATAAAGAGCGTTTCCGCACCGCCTTCCGCATGAAAGCCTACGCTTTCTGGCAGAGCTCCGAAGGTAACGCCGTTCCTCTCTCCCCCTTCCCCGCTCCCAAACCTCTACCCTCCTCTCCTCTCCCTCCCTCCATCCAAGAACTCTTGGGGCAAGGCTCCCACGTTACCTCTCTTCCTGGGTCAGGATCACCACCATTCATCAGCCCACACCCCTTCAGGGAGCCTTGAGACATGTCACCATGGTGTCTAAGGGTGGCCATGAAGAGTGAATTGTCATGGAAGTCATTGAATGATGGAGAGGGGCCAGGTGCAGAGTCATCTGGAGTGAGGGCCACAGTGCCCCAGCGGGTGGGAAAAGGTATCAGAAAAGCACCCTACGGGTCTGTAGGAACAATGGCCTCATGTGTCTCTTCCAGTTAGGAAAAGGGAGACAAGCAGGAAAGCCTGTGTCCTCCATGTCTGCAGCCACCCAGGACTCTGACCCTCAACTAAGTTCACTCCAAGACCTCTGGGATGTGTGAGGCCCAGAAAGTGACCTCCCAGGGTCACCAAGAGAGTGACCGACAGAACAAGAATCCAAGCTCAGGACCATCTGACTGTAAAGCCCCTCCTGTGGGTTCTTTGCTGCCTCTGCGGGGCCACTGAGGAAGTCATATCACCCCCCTTGTAGCCTTCTGCCCACCACCTGTCCTGAACTGCACACACCTGTGACTTAGAGTTCTGGAGAGTAGAATGGGGATGCTAAGAAAGGCTGAGCGATTCCCCAGAGCTGGGGAAGACCAAAGACTCTGGAGGTTGAGTAATCTGGAGGCTTAGAAAGTTCTGACTGAACGATGGGGTTCCTGAGCCTTTCCAAGTGCTGTGGCCTACCACTGACATGTGTTTCCCTCCCAGATGCCGGGACAGGTGATCCCATGGCAGAAGACAAGGGCTACGGGAATGACTTCCTCATTGAAGACATGATCCCCACCCTGAAGGCCGCCATCCGAGCCGTCAGGTAAGGCCCCCTCCTGCCCACCTGTGTGTCTCCCCAGGCCCCAGCTCAACTCCCACAGGACACAGCTTATGCAGTGATCTTGGACTTTGGGAAGGGGGACGGAAGCCCCCTCCCCGGTAACCTTGAGTCAAGTCCCAAGGGTATGTAAATACTGTACTCTATGAGAGATGCTGCCTCCAGAGAAATGATTCCTACCTTAGCAAGTCATGACAGGTGACTCTTTCTTGCCTTGTTATAAAAATGCTCCCACAGCCTCCCCTGACAGTATCTCCAGCTGCCATGCTCCTCTCCAGCTTTAACCACCATTTATTTTAAAGGGTGTCAGGGTGTATGTATGGGGATGGGGGGTATTGACATGGGATTTTCTCTCTTTATAGGCTTCTTTCTCAAAATAGCTTTTCTTCTGCCTATCTTCATCCATATAGCTCTTTTTAATTGGAATTTTTAACAAGGTAATAAATTATAGATTGATTTTTTTTTTTGTATGTATCAAAGGAGACGATAATCTGCTATGGCTGTGTCTGTTCCACTTTAGAATTCTGCAAAAAAATAAAAGAGTATGCTACTATGTAAAGAAATGCTGTCAGAATATGGCACGTAAGCACTTCATAAAGGTGGCAGTGAATTCTAGAACCTAAGTTGGATTCTCCAAAAACTAGTCATAATATTTTCAGCAAGATTCCTGTCCAATAGATCAGGGAAGCACAATGGTATTATTGTATGTGGTCCTGAGCAAAACCTTTGAGCTGGTTTCTCGCGACACCATCATAGTCGACATGACAGAAGTAGGGTTGCATGAAAATACAGTAATTTGGATTCACAACTGGCTGAATGACTTTATTCAGAGAAAACCAGTTAATGAATCTGTGTCAGCCTAAGGGAGGTCTATGCTGAGATACTCCATGGTCTGCTCTCTGCCTTCTCCTTTTCAGCATTTTTATTGATGTCTTGATTCAAGGGTCGGCAAACTTTTTCTGTAAAGGGCCAGAGAGTAAATATTTTAGGCTTTATGGTCCATACATCTCCATGCAAGTATCAGCTCTGCCATCATAAAACAAAAGTAGCTGTAGACAAGACATAAATGAATGGGTGTGAGTGAGTTCCAATAAAACTTTACTTTCAGAAATAGAAGTGGGCCAGATTTGTCCTTGGAGCCATAGTTTGCTAATTCTTATCTTAAATGAAACTATGGAAAGGGCAGGCTTATAAAATGACATGAAGTGGGAAGGACAGCAAGTAAAGTAGATGGTATAATCCATATGCCAAAATAGTGTTTAGAAGCTGGAGCCATGGGCTGGCCCGTGGCTCACTCGGGAGAGTGTGGTGCTGATAACACCAAGGCCCGGGGTTCGTATCTAAGAAAAAAAAAAAAAAAAAAAAAAGCTGGAGCCATGGGCTGGCCCGTGGCTCACTCGGGAGAGTGGGGTGCTGATAACACCAAGGCCCGGGGTTCGTATCTAAAAAAAAAAAAAAAAAAAAAAGAAGCTGGAGCCATGGGCCATGACAATCAAAATGAACTTTGAATGTACCATAAGAAAGGCTGAGCAAATGCAAGATGGAAGGGCCTGGGATGGGCTGTGGTGTCCTGATACTGACCTGTGACTACGGGTTTTAATGGATGCCCTGATCAGCAGGAGTTAACCTCGTGATGGGGTTCCCAAGGAGCATCAGTCAGCAAGTGACCTAACTGGTTCCCAGGAAAACAGAGGTGAGGGTTCAACCAGTTCTAGGTCATCTACGAGTTCTGGGTACCCCAGTTTACAAGGAACCTGAGAAACGAGCTCTTCTCTTCTGGGAGCTCACAAGCAAAAGAATTAAAGAGGCTATAGAAGATGAGATATATCAGCTGTCCCCAAATAGAAAGCAGTGCAACCATGATTAAGAACACAGGCCCGGGTTTGAGGACCAGCTCTGACCTTACTAGCTGGACGGCCCTGGGAAGATGCTGAAGCCGTCTGTACCACAGCTGCATCATCTGTAAACTGATCTATTAGCAGGATTGTTCATAAAGCACGAAGCTCAGTGTCTGGAATGAATGCTCAAGAAATGTTAGCTCGTATTGTTATGATTTTCTTTATTTTTTTCTTTATTTTTACAGCAGTTTTAGTTTAACAGAAATATTGAGGAGACAGAACAGATAGTCCCAATACCCTCCCCCATCCATATGTAAAATTTCTCCTATTATCGACACATTACATTAGTGTGGTACGTTTGTTACAATTATGAATCAATATTTATATATTATCATTAGCTTCATTGTATATTACAGTTCCCTTTTCTTTTTTTGTCTTTTTTTTTTTTTACTGGCTGGCAATGGGATCGCAACCCTCGCTGTCGTGCCCTCACCGTGCTCAGCCAGTGAGCGGGAACCGGTCTCCACATGGGATCCGAACCCTCGGCGGGAGCGCCGCCACACTCCCAAGCGGCGCACTCTCCAGTGCAGTGCGCCACTGGGCCAGCCCTAGGGTTCCCTTTTTGTATTGAGTAGTTTTGTGGGTTTTGCCTAACACATAATGTCATGTATTCAGCATTATAGTATCATTCAGAATAGTTTTGCTGCCCTAATTTTCATATTATTCAAATGAATGAAGGAAGGTAGTATTGAAGAAGAGGTACTAGCCAGCCTAATTCTATGTGGTTACAAGGGGTAGGACCACATACATGTCTCTTCACTTGTCTTAACAAGTTCAAAAGTTGGAAGTTCTCCCCATCAACTTGTTTTCTGTTTGGTTCTTTTCTCCCCTTGCCCCTGAGTTTGCTAGCCTTGTATTACAGTTTCCTTCACTCTCTACCCACGACTTATGAGTGCCTCTCCTTTGCCTTGCAGAATTCTACAATTCCGTCTCTATAAAAAAAAATTCAAGGAGACTTTGAGGCCTTACGACGTGAAAGATGTGATTGAGCAGTATTCCGCAGGACACCTCGACATGCTTTCCAGGATAAAGTACCTCCAGTCAAGGTAAGACAGTTGCGTCTGAGGGACTGTGCTATCCTGATTGCTCAGGAATCAAAGCCATGTCAACCTTGAAGTTTAAGGCAAAAGGCATTCGTAAGTAAGTCAAAATGCAGGGGAGAAATGTTAAGAACAAAAATTTTCATCAAGCATTTTGGATGTCATGGCCAATAAGCACCAGATCGAACAGGCTGTAAAGAAGCTCAGTGACATTCCTGTGGCCAAGGTCAGCACCCTGGTCAGGCCTGATGGAGAGGAGGAAGCCTATGTTCAACTGACTCCTGATGCTGAGGTTAGGACGCTGCCAACAAAATCAGGAGCATCTAAACTGAGTCCAGCTGGCTAATTCTAAATATAACTTTTTTACCATGTTAAATGTTCACCAGGTGTTATTCATAATACTGAAAATATGAAGCAGCATCCATGCCCAACTAATAATTGGCGCCATTTTCATTGAGCACCTGGGTGCTCTACAGGTATGTGTCTAATTCCTTATAACCTCACAAGGTATAGTATTATAGTGCCATTTTTCCAATGAAGAAACTAAAACAAAAGAAAAAAATGCTGGCGAGGATGCAGAGAAAGGGGAACTCATACACTGTTGGTGAGAATGTAAAGTAAAACAACCATTATGGAAATCAGTGTGGTGGTTCCTCAAAAAACTAAAAATAGAACTCCCATATGATACAGTAATCCCAATGCTCGGTATTTATCCAAAGGAAAGGAAATCAGCACACTGAAGAGTTACCTGCACCCCCATGTGTATTGCAACACTATTCACAATAGTCAACATATGAATCAACTTAGGTGTCCACTGACAGATGAATAGATAGAGAAAATGTGGTATGTGTACGCAATGGAATACTACTTAGCCACAAAAAAGAATGAAATCCTGTCATTTATAGCAACATAGATGAGCCTGGAAGACATTATATAAAATAAAATATCAGGCACAAAAAGATAAATACTACACATTCTCACTCATATGTGAAAGTCAAAAAAATAATAGTAAGTTGAACTTTTAGAAGTAAAGTATAGAACTGTGGTTACTAGAGGCTGGGAAGGGGAAAGAGGAGGTGGGTAGTAAGATGTTGGTTAATGAAAACAAACTTTCAGCTAGATAGGAAAATTAAGTTCTAGTGGTGTAAAGTAGAGCTAGGCATTTATAATTACGAATAATTTATTGTATGTTCTCAAATGGCTAGAATAGAGGACCTCAAATGTTCTTATCACAAAGAAACAATAGATTTTTGGAATGATGGATGTGCTAACTACCCTGATTTGATCATTACACATTGTGTACATGTATCGAAATATAACTCTGTACTCTATAAATATGTACAATCAATACATTTCAATTAAAAAATGAATAAATTTCCTTAAGAAAATTATTCAGCTAGTAGGTAACAGAAGCAGAGAATCCAACCAAGTCCGATTGGTTACAAAGGCCCTGTTCTCTCTAACACACACCACTTCCGCAATTATGAAGTAGTGGTTAAGGAAGGAATGGTAGCTGCTCTCATTAAAATGTTATGCAATCACCAAATGATGTCTAGAAAAAGTATATAAATGAGGTTTTTTAAAATTATGTTATTTGTGAATATATATGCATGATATGATTAATAATAATACACTGAGCATATCTATCTAGACTTATACATATCTATAATCTTATATGTGCATATATGTTTTTATATGTATCACATATAATATCACAAAATCTAGGTAGAATAAATATGCTCTTCTTAGACCTTGTGATGATATTACTAATATGTATGTATGATATGATTACAAAAGCATGCACACATAGGTTTGCTCAGAAATACACAAGCCATGCCACCTTATCTCATAGAGGGAGAAGGGGGTGGGATTTCCCCCAAAAGATTATAGTAGCCATACTGAGATGATACGTATAAGACTGACTTATTTTATTCTACTTTTTAAATTTGTCAAATCTTTAATGAATTATAAAAATATCCTTTTAAAAAAATTTTAAAAACAAAGAACAGTATGATGTCAAGAGTCATGCTATAACACTCAGGGAACCAAAGTCCTATTTGCAGCTCATTCTCTGGCCTGTGCAAGGCTTCAAGATGACACAAGTTCCCTCTGGGCTCAGCTTCCTTGTCTGGATAATGTTTTTCTGGAGTGTCCTGCTGAGTTAATAGGAACACCACACTGAATGGGTTGGAAGGTAGTGATGCTGTCAAGTTGGAGATGTGCTTATTCATAGCCTTATTTTTAACTGGGATATCAACTTTGCCTGCTTAGCAAAGTGGCAGGCATACAGTTGGTGCTCAATGCCTGCTGAACAAATGGATGTGTGAATGAATGCTGAACCGAAAGTGTGATCTGTGCAAGTTTGGCTCTCTGAGACACAGAGGAAGGGAGCATGATGTCTAAGACATACCAGTCTCCAAAAATACCAGCCTATCTTAATGAGCATAGAATGGATCGTCGTAATGTCATAGTTTCTGATATTTATTAGGCAATTGTGTTTCTAGGATTTGTGGCTGGAGGTTGGCTGCTGGGATGACTAATTGCACATCCACATCCATGCTGATATGGCATAGAAAAAGGAAGGCCAATTTAGTATATGGCAGTGTCAATGGAGGAAAAGCTGGGTTTCCAGAGAGGAGACTGAGAGACCCATGGCTATTTCCAGCTGCATGGTCTGAATGATGCTCCCACCCCACCCCTGCCCTAGCCCTGCAGTGCAAAGGGCAAGAGTTCTCTCCTGTTAATTCCAGCACAGAGTGGGAGCTCGTGCCTCATGCAGAAAAATTGGAAGCAGGCTGTGGGAGCTAGTGTCGTACCATCCTTCTATAGGCCAGAGATGCCTGCACAGCAGCAGTGATCTGCGCAGTTGAAAATGGAGCCTAGGATTTGGCAGTAAAAACTCCTAATTAGATGTTTTGGGGAAGGATAAAAGAGCTGGAAGATGAGGTGTTCTTGCAGCACACATATGGTATTTTCTGTAAGAAATAATGAGATGCAGCCTCACCCCATCTCAGTGGTTTGTCTGCCTCCCTCTCCCTTGGGATGAGAAGATGCTTTCAGTACCATTAGTCAAAAAATGCATAATAATATACTGAGGTTATAAGTTCTCTCTCTCTCTCTCTCTCTCTCTCTCTCTCTCTCTCTCTCTCTTCCCTTCTCTTACATTTTCCAAACATGTATCTAAGAGGGAATAGAATGATTTGTTTTCTGCCAAAAAAAAGCTGTGTGTAATTTAACCTCTCACTTTGTTTTTTTCAGAATAGATATGATTTTCAGCCCTGGACCTCCATCCACTCCAAAACACAAGAAGTCTCAGAAAGGGCCAGCATTCACCTATCCATCTCAGCAATCTCCCAGGTGGGGCTTGTGAACATGGATTGATGGGCCTTGGGTGCGAAGCTCAGCTTGGATCCTTTATGTGGGGGATATTGCCACTCCTCTAAATAAAATGAAGAGAAAGAGTTTGAAGCCTATTCCAGTCTGTGGCCATTTGAAAATTTTTCTGTCCAAAAGACTCCCCATCCCTCTTTCTAGATATGATTTTCAGCCCTGGACCTCCATCCACTCCAAAACACAAGAAGTCTCAGAAAGGGACAGCATTCACCTATCCATCTCAGCAATCTCCCAGGTGGGGCTTGTGAACATGGATTGATGGGCCTTGGGTGCAAAGCTCAGCTTGGATCCTTTATGTGAGGGATATTGCCACTCCTCTAAATAAAATGAAGAGAAAGAGTTTGAAGCCTATTCCAGTCTGTGGCCATTTGAAAATTTTTCTGTTCAAAAGACTCCCCATCCCTCTTTGCAGACAGTGTAGATGATACTTCTTTCTGTGATTTTTAAAAATGAAAATAACCACATCAGTTTCCTTGTTATAAAACAGGAGGAGACTTGTGAGTGAACAGGAAAAACACTTTATGTTAGCAGGACCCACAGCATTCTTGGTTAGCTGGTTTGGCTTTTCCTACTTAGTCACCCTTGAGTTGACCAATACCCTTCCCAGGACAAAGCAGAGAAGACAATCAGATGTCAGGCCCCTGATAACACGGTAACATGGTGCCTCAGCAGAGCAGCTCACCTCCCTCCAAAAAATGTTCTAAAATTTCGAACAAGGAGGTGTTCTTTAGAAAATCCACTGCCTGGATTCACATTTTTTTTATTTCCAAATGCCTTCAAGGCAGGTAACATAAATGAGGGAGTCAGGCTTAAGAAACATTATAAAAGAACCAAGAATGTAAGTATGATGATAAAAGGCATCTAATTTTCAGACTCAGTCTTGGTGATGGAATAAGGAGTGGTGAGCCATGGAGACCTAGAGGAGGCAGTTGTTACTCTGTTCTGTTGTTGCTAATTTTAGGAATGAGAATCCTCTCTTTCAAGATAACACAATTTTTTAAAGAAAAGCTGAATATCCTGAGCTTATGTGAAATTCTCCAGTTTTTAGAAAGCTTGCATTTTAAAATCCTCTGCAGGCAAAGGAAAACACTGATGGGCTGGATTTAGCACATGGAGCATCAGTAATTGACATGTGCTTTAATTCAACCCTACTCAGCAGGAGTCAGTAGCCTATAAGAGAGAAAAATCAACTATCAAGAAAGGGCCTCTCATGAATGGTTTGAGGCAATAGCTGGGCTCCCTAAAAGTCTCCATCTGCACGGAACATAAAAATATTGAAACGAACTGGAATTTAGGTAGATACTAACTCTGCATAGCCAAAGAGCAAACACAGCACATTCCCTACCAGCATCATCTTTTGCATTATTTTCCAGATTCAGCATTTGTTTTCCATTCTTAACACATGGGCCAGATGAAATATTTATACCCATGTTACACAATTTCAGAGATTAGGCACCCCCTCCCCACCTCAGAGTAGAACCTCTTACACATTCAGTGTAAAACCTCTCAATCAGCAGAATGATAGTGAAAGGCAAAGGAATGTAATTTAAAGGAATTAAACACTCTCAGCACTGTTACATGCTTTCTTAACTTTAAAACAAAGCAAAGCCTCTTTAATAGCAGCTTCATATTTGGCTTCAAATTTTCCTGCAGTGAAAGTAAGCATGAAACATCAGTGTTGAAGGCAGGAAGAAGCTGGCTTTCCTGACTCACATGTGCCTCTAGAGTTGGGTGGGCCTCCTGCAGGCTGCATAAATGCAAAGATAAGAATGATAACTTCATGGGCCATGGCCTGTCTAGCTGCAACAACCTTGCAAAGCAAAACTAGATATAATGATCTTATAGAATTGTTGGCTTTTTCTTAGGAGTGAACCATATGTAGCCAGAGCATCCACATCAGAAATTGAAGACCAAAGCATGATGGGCAAGTTTGTAAAAGTTGAAAGACAGGTAGGTCTTATCTTTCCTTCACCAGAAAGCAAGTGTATGAAATTTATTTTCAAATGTCATTTTTTTTCATAGGGATATAACATACTTGAGTAATACTATCTACCATTCAAAAAAGGATGGGGAGACTAAATCCCTGTTTAGCATTTGCTCGCTGGGTGATCACATGTAAGTTAATGACTTATTCTGAGCCTCAGTTTGCCTCATCTGTAGTATGGGGATTTTTTTTGCCTCATAAGGTTGTTGAGAGGGCTAAGTGAGTTGATACCTATAAATTCCCTAGAACACTTGCTGGCACACAGTGAACACTCAACAAATGGTAGCTTCTATTATCATGTGCTGCATGGTAGTTCCTTAAGAAATGTGTGTTCTCTGCCCTGCATTTTATGTATCTTTTGTCCTCCTTTTCCCAAACTCCAGGCCAGTGGGTGGCCTGTGTGAAGGGGCCTGGAGGAGGGCAGGCTGTGAGTGAGGTTCATTCAGGGTGGAAAGAAAAACCCACTCACTCGCAACACCCTAGGTAGCTCACCTCTTGTTTCCATTGTAAAGCAGCTTATATTCTAAGACTGTTTACCTAACTTTGCACCATATAAATGGCATTACCAATTTCCTCTAAGATCCTTATTAATCCTTTTATTTTATTTATATCCCCAAACTGGATCCATGCTGGAGAGGCAAGACAAAATTGGAATGATTATTCTTTTTTGGTATAGCAAGCATAGTGTTTTTCATTTTTAAATTTTAATTTATAATCTCAGCTCTTCCATTTACTAGCTCTGTGGCCCTTGACAGGTTATTTCACCTCTGTGTGCCTCCGTTTCTTCACCTGTGAAATGGAGACAATAATAGTATCCATCTTGTAGGGTTCTTGTGAAAGTTAAATGAGTTAATAAAGTGCATAAAATAGCCAGATACTTGCTAATGGCTCCATGAGTATCAATTATTATTACGACTTAGATGACATTGGCCATTACCTATTACTGTGCTTCATAGTGTCAACTGTAACACAGGATGATATACCTGACGACGATGTTTTCTGGTGAGTTGTGAATTGTCCGAGTGAGAACATTGCATAGACACGTGTGCACACACTCGTGTACATGCAATCAAAAATACAAATAAGTTCCCAACTTAGGCAAACAAGACCAGATGCAGCTTCACTGTCCCTCAAGGCCCTAGGTGGGGCCTCCAGTTCTGAAAAGCTGAGTTCTTGCTACCCACTGACCTTGTGTCTTCAGGGCTTATATCACCATGTAGCAGACACATACACTAATAAGCCTCATGCTTGTGTCTGAAGAAATGTACCCACGTCAAGAAATCCTGCTCCTTGACCCAAACAACATCAACAAGGCCACCTCCTCCTCTGGGGACAAAGAAGGACTGGTGTGCACTTACCCTCAAACCCTCTCCTCTGTTCCAGCCTTTGCTTCCTGGGAAACTTTGCCTCAGTTGTTTCTAGATTAACACTAACATATGTGTAGGACTTGTGAGTAGGAGACACAAGGGAATTATTAGCTACTGTCCTTATTATTAAGACTCACAGGAACTCTCTTTCTGAAAAGTAAGTCCTATGGTATTTTCTCCCAATCCCTAACAATGACCCCACCCCCAGAGAAAGCAGTCATGCCCAGTTCCTTGTATTTTCCAGGTTCATGACATGGGGAGAAAGCTGGATTTCCTGGTAGACATGCACATGCAACACATGGAACAGCTGCAGGTGCATGTCACAGAGTATTACCCTGCCAAGGGCTCTTCGCCAGCCGAGGTGGAGAAGAAAGAAGGCAGCAGGTATTCTGATTTGAAAACCATCATCTGCAACTATGCTGAGACAGGCCCCCTTGAGTCTCCCTACAGCTTCCACCAGGTGCCCATTGACAAGGTCGGCCCCTATGGGTTTTTTGCACATGACCCAGTGAACCCACCCCGAGGGGGACCCAGTTCTGGAAAGGTTCAGACAACTCTTCCTTCCTCGGCCACCACATATGCAGAAAGGCCCACCGTCCTGCCTATCTTGACTCTTCTTGACTCCCATGTGAGCTACCACTCCCAGGCTGAGCTCCACGGCCCCTACTCGGACCGAATCTCCCCCGGGCAGAGACGCAGCATCACACGGGACAGCGACACACCTCTGTCCCTGATGTCAGTCAACCATGAGGAGCTGGAGCGGTCTCCAAGTGGCTTCAGCATCTCCCAGGACAGAGACGATTACGTGTTTGGCCCCAGCGGGGGGTCAAGCTGGATGAGGGAGAAACGGTACCTCGCTGAGGGTGAGACGGACACAGACACAGACCCTTTCACACCCAGTGGCTCCATGCCTCTGTCATCCACAGGGGATGGGATTTCTGATTCTATATGGACCCCTTCCAACAAGCCCACTTAAAAGGGGTCACTGGCTGACTCCTCCTTGTAATGTAGACAGACTTTGTATAGCTCACTTATTCTCACACCTGACGCGTACCAGAGGGGACACCAATGGCTGCATCAAATGCATGCATGTGTGTGGTGGCCCTCACCTGGGCAGGGGCTTTTCATGGCCTTCTTCCTCCCCATGTCACCACAATGAAGCCACTTCCTTTTCAGCATGGTTTGCATGACTTTACGCTGTATAAATGGTACCACTAATCTCTTCTAAGATACATATTTATCTGCTGTTCTTACTTTTAATCATGATTGGACCAGTACAGGGAGAAATGATTGACAAGTGGTGTGCGATTTGTCTGTTTGGTTGGCTGGTTTGGATTTTGGTTTGGTAAACAGAGAAAGTAGTTTAAGTTATTTCTAGAATCACTTTCCGTTTGTGTAAAACACTTCAGTGATTAACTATTTTCTAAAGCAAGGAAATAATTTTCCCAACAAAACCACATTGTGTTTCAATGAGGCTGCCTACTGAGCTGACAGTAGGAAAGGAATAAGGTAGTCATCGCATCTCCAAAACCAAGAATTTTAAAAATTATTTTATTAAGGAAAAACTAACAAAAACCATTTAAAAGCTCTGAAAAGGGTCTCACTTGGTCTGCGATTGTTTATAGTATCCTGCCTCAGTTTCCTCATCTGTGAAAGGTGGTGGTAATCCAAGCATAGCACTTCAAGTGAATTATGAATGAGAGGGAAGAACACGCATACGCACACTCAAGTTAAAATAGTTCCCACTTTATGTAGCCAAGGGCAATGAAATTTATCAGAAGTGGGGTGCCCCTTGGGCAGGAGATAATTCAGTGCCTTCAAAATGAGGTTCCAACTCACATTCCTCCCCATGATACTTAAGTACAGAATATCCACATAAATAGCAATAGAGTTAAGAAGGCACTCGAAAATTACCTAGTCTAAGTCCTTCTTTTTAAAAAGGAGAACTCTTAGGCTCAGGCCCAGTGCCGTGCCTAGGGTCACTTGGTTGTCCCGTGGGGAGCTGGGACTCAAAGTCCCATGTACTGCCTCCCTCCCTGCCTTGCTGTCCTGTCACTGCACTGCTCTGCCATTTACACAGTGGGACTCCGAAATCATGCTGAGACACCAGTACTTGTGTCATGCAGAAAGTACTCACCATAGTTTACCCAGCAGGAGGGGGATGTCTGTTTTTATTGCAAAACATGCTCGCTTGATTCACTGCATACAGATCCATAATAAGATAACACAAGCAAGCTACGTTTATTGATATGCAAATTTCTCAGAACCCTCTGGTTTTCTCCAGATTTTTAAAATGAAAGTACTAAAACCACATGTAGCCATAAGACTAGCTAAAGTGTAAGCAGACAGCCTGGAAAGCACTGCCCTACTACAAAAATGTTAATATTAAGCACAAGTCACCCTGTGGCCTCTTAGGAGATGTTGCTACTCTCTAAAAATCTTTCATAGAAAAGGTTTCTGTTAGACCTGGGCTGAGTTAGTGAAATGACCACAGCACAGTATCATGGTCTCACTCCTTGCACCCATCTACGCACTGGTTGTGGATGGTTGCCATGGTGACCATCGAGATGATGGAATTGGCTTAAACAAATGTCTACATGTGACTGCCACTGATGTTCTCCCTCACAGTCTTGTCAAGAGCCACAGTAGCTATGGCAGACACTTGGTTGGTGGTTTCATCGTTACCAACTGCAGGAGTCTTGCACAATGTTGGAGAGAGGAACTGCTTCCTCCAAGATTGGTTCCTTTCAGTCCACATGTCAACAGGTAGTGTGCAAAAGGTTGAGAATACAGTGAAGATGAAAGCGTGGCCCCTGACATTAGGAACTTACAACCACAGCTTGAAATCCCTGGCCAAGGACAGGCATTGTGAGTGGTAGAAGGGAGTTTTACGTTGAGCATCCTACAAATGAATAGGTATTGACCTTGAGGTCCGAGGTGGGAAATACACAGGAATTATTACACACATCACACATGAAGCCCTATGGTTTTCCACTTGACCTTCTGGCAATCTGAAGGGCAAAGGGCATGGATCCTTTGGCCCTCCTCTCTACTCCCTTCAATATGGTTAAAGTACCATTGAGAACTATAACCTAAGAAACCCTGTGTCCTTCCTAGGGGGTTTAGTTCTTCATTCTAATTTTCCTGTTAACTTTCACCAGATGATTGTGCTACCTACCATCTAAAATGTTACCAAACTGTTCTTTATGCATGTGAGTTATTGGAAACCAAAAAAGAAAAAGAAAAGAAAGAGTATGAGTCAAACTCTTCAAATATGCACCGTTTTTTTAACTTATTAATATTCTTGCAGAACCTATTTATAAGATACCTTTCAGTATCTTATAAATAGATGCATTTTCTAGGAACTCAATGGAATTCTCAATCAGAAGAGTGAGACCTTCTTATCTCCAAGCTGAAAGTATTTACCACGCATCCAAAGTTAGAACAACTACCTTAGGTTCTTCTAATAACATGGAAAGGATCGGAATTTGTATTATTTTCCAAGTTCTAAGTGAAAGGTTAAGTTTCCCTGCTGGATCATAAGGTCAGGACGACAGGTATTGGGTTTGTGATGATCACCACTTCATGTCCAACATATAGTAAGTTGTCTTTATCACTGTGGACACAGACAAAGGACGCAGTTCATGAACAAATAAATGATAAGAATCTTAAAAGCTATTCTTTCCCATCTAAGAAGACAAAAAGAGAAAGAAAAATAATTTTCCAGAATAATTCTGCCTTGATATTCCTTTTTTAAAAAAAATACATTTCATAAAAGCAAATCAAACCTGCTCAAGTCGCCTGCCCTTAGAGAACATCACCAACACGGCTGGCCTTGAGGAAGTGGAAATTCTGGGTCTGGGATTGAACATAAGATATGGGGAGAAACAGGGTGTGATTCCACAAAGATCACTTTGTCAGGCACAGGAATAATCCAACAGAATCGGTTAATATCATGGCCCAAGATTATATTACTTCTGATATGCCAGTGGTTCCAAAACTTGCCCCGGAAATTGCTGTAGTTTTGGCAGAACCCCGTGAAATACTGATAAATTAATCTCATCAAAAAAACTAGGAATGTTTTCTCAGGTAAAACGATGCTCCCATTATATATATGTGTGTGTCACAACATGACATATGAAAAAATTAACAGGTCATATTTGAGCATGATCAAAATGAATGAGATAAATCAACCTCACAAATGTTAAGGGGAAGGTGATCCTATTGAGCTGAGAAAAAAGTACTTCAGATCAATGTGAGTTTTGACTATCAAATACTAGCATACAAGCAAACACCAAAAGTTTAAGAAAAAAAAAAGTGAGAGGAAAAGAAAAAAACATCAAATTGAGAAAATTCTATAAAATAATTGTATTTGTTCTTAGAACTGGGGGTTTAGACTTATTAGACGTGACACTGATATTACGAAGGCCTACTTTTCATGAAAACATAGCTAGAAAACCCTAAGGTGTATAGGTCACAACAAGCTAATTAACCAACAATTATGCATCGTATGCCTATTTTATGCAAAGTAGTTCCTAGAAACTGTAAGGTGAGAGAATATTTACCTGTAGAAAAACCTAATATAACAGGATCTACTCATAATTTGCCAAAACCATTCTCATAATTCCATGCTGCTATAATGAGAGTGTAATAGAGAAAAATTAATTTGCTTTTTCATTTTACAAGATTTGTTAAGCACCACTGTATGCCTGGAACAAATCTGATTTCATCACTGCAGACAACTCCATACAGACAGAAATGCTTCCTAGCTTGGAAACAGTGGCAGGATGAAATGGAAGAAAAGAGTAAAAATTTTGTGTGAAAACGGCAATGATATACCATCAGCCCAGGGAAAGCTAGTGGGCTGGATGAGGACTTAGAGTTTAGATGGAATATTTTGGACTCCTTAACTCCAGATAAGCTGTGCAAAAAGGAGGCTCTAGGGTACCTGAAGAAGGTTCTTGGAGAAACCAGCTTTCTCCTCTTCTCCAAATCCTTACCAAGACTGAAGCCAGGCAAGGCACTGCAGTACTTTCATTTCATCACGTTGACCAAGAGAAGCTATGAAACAAGCCACGGCACAGCATTTATTTCAAGAGGAAGATATATGAAACCTGGGCATCTTCAGGAATTTGCCCCTCTGTCCTCTCTTGTTCTTGAAGGCTTGCTTATTGCAGGATGAACTTTTTAAAAGACTAAGTCTTTGTATCCAAATCAATCCAACATTTTTGTGTTACTGATATTACACCTTGCAAAACTGAGCCTACTGCCCCCTAAACAAAGCAGCAGGTAGCCCCTCACCAATGCCTGGGTTAGAGCATGTCAGGAGCTTTCTGCATAGCTGCCGTGGTTTTGGAAACCAGTAATGGTAGTGTCAAAGAGATAGAAAGGATGTAGAGATGACCTGGATGAAAACTGGAGTTTCAGGACATTCAGAAGTATTTGAATCTTCTGGCCTATTATGATTTTCAAATAATACATATATACGTGCGTGTGTGTATATATAAATATATATGTAGTCCCAGTACAGTGGCTGACACATACACATCAGGGGCTGTTATTCATGTTCTTTTTTTACAGTATGTGTAGACTCCATTGGCTCAGTCTTTCATACTACTTATAAACTCTAATTTAATACCAGAAAATCTTTTTCAGAAAAATAGTAGTAGTGCTATAATCCCACTTATTACATGACAGAACCAGGCATTTTTCACAATTCTTTTTGAAGTAAGTACATCTCTACAAATAAAAATTCTTAGTTTTTTCCATCGAAATGAGGACGAGAACAATTTTGTAATGCAGAGAGCAGGAATGTTGGATCCCAGTGGCTGGGCTGTGGCGGTTCCAATGGACACACAATACTAGATGCTGCTCCATTCTCTCACATGATAATTTGTAGGAGGTAAAGCCAAATAACAAGAATAATTAAATATGAAAGGACTCATGATTTCACGAGGAGTGTTGGACAACACCCTAGCGACGAATGGGGGAACTTCTAGAAGAAAGAGTTAAAGCTTGCTCAGTCCCTCCTTATGGGGATTTGTTCCCAGCCTTTAACAGCCTCAACTTCAGCATCCCTGTAGCAAGACCGTGACTATTATTTTGACTTATCACAGATGTGAAGGGACATAATTTCATAGATCCTTAGATGCTCAAAGCAGGAAAAGACTTTGATTACCGGAACAACCATCTCTCTTCTTAGATCAAGAAACAGATGCTCAGAGTGAAGGGAATCACACCAGGTCACCCAGTGATTGAACAAGTGAGGGAGTAGCAGAGTGAATCTAGGACCCG